GGTAGGGGGCTTCGCTTTCAATTTCCAGCTTTCTATCCCCTCCCTCCCACCCCACCCCAAGTAAGAGAGCGACGTGTCCCGGCCAGAGCGGGGGGGGGGGGGGCGAGAGTGGGGGGGCAGCGTGGGCAGCGGGTTGTGCCCGGACACGTGCCTGCCCAGGCGCCCCGGCCCTGCTAGTGTTTGGAGAGAGGGCGGGTCCCCTGCCCACCCCCCCCCCCCGCCCCGTACAACCCCCATGTATCAAAGGGCGACTGGGACGTGGTGAGACCTCGGGGCGCCCTGGGGGGCAGGGGGGGCGGGGAGCCTGGGTCCGGAGCAGGGGAGGGGCAGAGGCGCCGGTGCTAGCTGACCCACAGGAAACGAGCGCTGCTGACCTAGTTTGGGACACCGGAAGTGGGTGCTGGGGAGAGGGGGAGACCGGCAGGCTATCCTGGCTTCCGGGCCAGGTGGAGGGCGTTCTTGAATTGACCCCCGCCCGAATGCCTTGGAGACCCCTAGCTGCAGCTGAGAATGGAAATGAGTCAGCGCAGCTATCCCCCCTTCCCCCAACTTATTCCTGGAGGAGGGAGAACGTTTATCAGGGGTGAGGGGAGCCAGATTGGGCAGAGAGGGGTTAAACCAGGATGGGAACTCTCTGTTCCCTGAGGGAGTGTGTGCAGTGTGTGTGTTGGGGGTGAGGGGCTGAGGTCTGGAGGATTATGGGGTTACCTCCTGCTGCCCTACACACACCAAGTGGTTTGGTCACCCCTGTACCCTCCTGGCACTGCTGGTAAAGCTGGCATGAAGTGGGCATCAGGTTGGGAGGAGATATTGGGCATAAGGAGTGTTGTGCTAGGCTGGAGAAGGCCATATTTGTGACTAGGTTTGGGTGGCAGTGTGTTCCTCCTTAGTGGTAACTGGGGAGAAAGGCAGGGGGCTCCCCCTGGAGCAGCTGATGAAACAAGGAGAAATCTCTGTCAGTGCCTCCTGTCCCTGGCCCCCGGGACCCCAGCTCCCCCAGCGTGCCTCTGTTACATGGTTGCTGTGGGCACAACGCTGCTTGCTGGCACCCCCAGACACTGTCCCTTCCCTTGGGTACCACACCCCCAGCCTTGGCACAGGGGCTAGGAAGGGGTTAATGCCACCAGAAAGGGGCTCTAGGGAAGAAAGAAGGCAGTGCCCACTAGGCTCAGGTGTCAAGGAGACAGGCCTGCTCCAACGGGCCCTCTGATCATGGCTCAGCCCTGGCTTATATGGACCCTAGTGTCTGGGAGACAGGTGCTTTCCTCTTCCCCTTTCCCCATGGTGCCCCCTGGCACCCAGGGCCCCCAGCTCCTCCTTGGCCTAGTGCCCGCCCTGGGAGGGCGCGGCGGGCAGCGGGGGCTGGGCTAACAATGCACCATCGGGCCCTTTGTGTGCTTGCACTTGGCACCCTGGGGAAGGGTGGGGGAGGGGGACCCAGCGGGCATGGGGGGGGCGGAGCGCCTCTGGGGTGGGGACAGTGAAGGCTGGGGGGGAGAAGCAGAGAATGAAAGCAGGTGGGGAGGAAAGGGAAGTAGGTCAGATAGGGTGCTGGCCCCCCATTCCAAGCCAAGGCTGAGAGAACCAGCCTCGGATCCTATGGCTGCCTAGATGGCATCATGCTGGGGCCTGAGGCACAGCCTAGGACTGAGCATTTAGGGTCAGAAGTCACTGCCCAGGGGACGGTTCAGATGGAAGAGGCCTGGCTTGGTATTGCCCCCTTCTTGATGGTTGAGAGACCCAGTTCTCCTGGCCAAAGGCCAAAGCCCCAAGATGGGGAGTGAATGGGCTCCAGGCAGGGCATTGCTCTCTGATAGAAGCCTCTGGGCCTGCTTCAGGGCTTCCTGCCTCTGGACAGCTCGGTTCCCTGACCTTCCTGAGCATTAAGACTGCCCTGCCACCAGGCCTTGGGGCCTATGCCTGTTTTGGCCTAGGGCTGAAGAGGAGGGTGGGGGAGGAAGGTGGGGACAGGCAGACGGATAGGACCCTGGCATGGGGTGTGCCCGCTCTGGCCTCTTCCCCCTCCTTCTGCTGAGTAAACTCGTGAGTGAACTTGACGTTTTGCCCGGACAGTTTGAAGTTGCCTCGCCCCCCCCCCCTTAGTCCTGCCAACACACAAGCGGCCAGGCGCCAAGGCGGGACTGGGGGACTGGGGGGAAGGGGATAGAGCTACTGTCAGGGGCTTGGTGAGAACCTAGAAAGACCCCCCACCCAGCAGGGCTCAGTTCTTGGCAAGAATCTTGGCTGGAGTCTGTCAGCATCTGTCCTGTAGCCTTGGGGAGCCCAGAAAAAGTATTCTCAAGGATCCTCTTCTCACTTCTGACCTCTGTCCCCACTAGGAAAAGATACCCAATTGCCATCTGGCCCCCTGAGATGCCATCTTAAATGTTCTAGCCTAGGAGAAAAGCTAGCTTTAGAAAATCTTCAGGGAGGCCAGAGAAGGCTGCCCTCTTCATTTTGCCCCACAGCCTAGGGTAGATGGGAGGTAGGTGGCATTGACATCTTAGCCTCTCTTCTCTGAGGCCTCTGAGCAGCTACGGTCCCTGCCCTTCCCCTCTCTTGGCCTCACACCTGGGCTGGACCTCACACATACCCCCACTTACTTGACTATCATGCCTGGCCTACCCCGAAGCCTTGCTCTGCCTTCTAGCTTTCCCAGAACCAGGTTAGCCATCAGACCTCCGCCAGCAAATACCTGTGTCAGATCCAGGGATGGGGATGCACCTGGTAAAGGGGGCTGATGGCAAGCAAATGGAGCCAGAGACCCCCACAGGTGCACCAGTTTGCTACCCTGGACATCACTAATTGCTCTTACACCTCGCCAGGGCACCAGAACAGTAGGGGAAATGCCTTCCCAGTCCCTGCCAGGCCTCAGAGTGGGGCTCCCCCAAACCCTTGCTTTCGACCTCATGTCTCTGGCTTCAGTTTCCTTCCTGTTTCCACCGCCCCCCCAACTCCTCCCCACTCATATGCCCCTTTCAACAGACATCCTCTCCTCCTTCCTTCCTCCTTTCCTCCCACTTTGCCTGGGAGCAGAGGTCCTTTCCCCCTCCATGGACCCTCTAGCCTCTTATGTCTCCTTAAAAAAACAGTCCTTTACAACCAAGCCCTCTACCCTCCCCACCCAATCAGCTGGGCTCCTGGAAAGAGGAGAACCCAGGGTTTCTGAAGGGAACTACAACTCCCAAGGTACACTCAAGGTAATTATGGTGCATACTGGGAGTTGTAGTCCTCCTTGAGCTAGCTCTTAATTTGGCTGAGTCTGGAAGTGTTTCTGGGGGAGGGTAAAAGCCAAGGCTAGAGAGTTGCAACATGGGTACCCTCTGCATCCCCTCACTTTGTTTTTGCCACCCCATTCCCACATGACACCATGTATCCATGACTGACATCCATCTTCCTTGCTGAGACTTGCAACCCATCTTCACTTTAGGGCCCCACCCAAGAGATGCCCACACCCTGCCCTGCTGCCCCTGGCAAGGGTGGAATGAGGGGCCCCGTGAACTCTCTCCCTGCCCCCTGCCCTCCAGGCCGGTTCCCTCCCTTTATGGGGATCAAAGGGCAGGGAGCAGCCCCACCCCACTCCCTCGCAAGCTGCAGGCACTAGACCAGGGCTCTCAGAACTGCAGGGACTTTGGTGCCCAAGCATTTGCTTGGGCCAGGGAAATGCCAGGAGGTTGGTACCTGTGGCAGGGAGTGACATGAGCCCCAGCCCTGCGAAGCAGATCCTTCAGTGACTGCTCATGGGGCTGTCCTTAGCCTCCCAGCATTCCCATGTGGTGCTGCCTCTTGAGGACGGGGTTTGAGAACAGGGTCTTGGACCTTATCTGTAGGGCCTAGGGGCCTGGCCCCGCCTGGCTGGCACCAAGGTACAGGGGTGACCCTCCCCCACCTCAGGCCCACAGTTGGCATGGGGTGCTGGGAGCAGGGGGGTAGGAGGGAGAGGAGGGCAGGACTGCCAGCATCCTGGTGGGTAGGTGCCAACCGGGCCGGGAGCTGGTGAGGGGCAGCAGGCCAGCGGCATTGAGCCAGCAGCTGTTGGGGGGGAAAGGGGAGGGGGTGCTTTAGGGGACATTTCTGTAGTCCCCCCAAGACTAGCATGATTTGGGATGGCCTAATGTCTGGAGGATACTTGGGTACCCCTTATTCCAAGAATAAGGGACCCCAGGAGTTGTTTAAGACAAATTTTGTGGCCCACCCATCTCTGGGCTCAGAGCCCTCCTGAGTTGCCCCTCAGGCCCAGGCGGGTCCCACCCAACCGGCCAGGGTGGCAGCAGCTTGCGCAAGGGGTGGGGCTAGGCGCTTCCCAGCAGATGCCCCCTCCCAGCTCCTTCCTCTTTCCGTGCCCACAGCTCCCCCCATCTGACTATCCCCCTCAGGCCATCTCTGTCCCCCTGGCCACTGGGGGCTGGCAAGAGTGCTGCCCCCTGGCCTGGTTGGCAGGGGCTGGTGACCGGGCAAGGAACTGTGGTATGTGAGTGGGTTTGGGGTGAGGCTATGGGGAGGGCGGGGTGCTGCCTTGCCCAGCCCCTGAAGGCCCCAGCCCAGTACAGGGTGGGGAGAATCTGGCCAGTTCCCAGTAGGTCTGAGGGGCCCACTGGTCTCTGGAGGGCCTCTCTGTGGCCCCTTAATCCCACATGCCCTGAGGGGCTAGGACCTGGGCACCTGTCTCCCCTGGCACTGACTGTCTAGGGTTCCCCTCCTCCCTCTTTGGCCACTGCCACCTCCTGTCCCCTCCCCTCTCTTCTTCCTTCTCCTGGTCCCACCTCCAGCAGCCTCTCCCATCGCTCCTCCTCACCTCTGTCCTCCTGGACTGTCCCAGTCCTACCTTCCTACCCCTCACCTTTTTCCCCTTTCAGGACTAAGGACAGGCGGGGGTGGGGACAGCTGGGGCTTAGGGCACTGCAAGCGAAGACTCTGGGCCCTCTCCCACGCTGCCAGCCCTCTGTAACCCCTCCCTCCAGGTTGGGGGGGAGGGGGACAGCACCCAGAGGGTTAAGGCTGTAGGGGGGAGGGGCTGGGCCAGGTCGTGGGCGGCCCCTTTGAAGGAGGGAGCTGGAGCAGGGGAACAGCCACCCAACCTCCCCCCCAACAGCCTGGCCCTCCCCTTGCCCCTCCCAACCTGCTGCCCCCAGGGGCCAGGAGGAGTTGCCGGCAAGGCCCCTCAGCGTTCAGGTGAGTAGGCCCTGCTCTGGCTTGGGAGGTCAGGCCCCAGGGGAGGCTCGCAGGCCTAGAATTGGCCAAGGGTCAGAGAAGGACTGAAAAACAGGTTGAGAAGAGGGCTCCCAGACGTCACTGGGGGCTTAGGGAGCTGAGGGTCTGAAGAGCTGGTGTGTGGGGAGACCTCAGGATCCAAGGGACCCGAGAGGACCAGAAGAGGGGCCTACTGGAGCCGAGTGATTGCTGGGCCAGGCAGGAGGTTGGACAGGCTGGCAGGGAGCCGGGCTCTGGGGATCGGGCTGGGGTGTCCTCTGGGGCTGGGGGGCTCAGGTTTCTGCCGGCAGCTTGGCGGGTGTGGGGTTACCAGTCAGCTCGGTTACCCAGCCTGAGACACTAGACTGGGGGGAGGGGGGGACAGGGCAGACCCTGGTACCTTGAGCCTTCCCCTCGGGCCCTAAGGGAGCTCCCACTGCTTAAGCAGACCCCGCTGAGAACCGGAGGACCAGGGTCTGTCTGAGTGGACAGTTGCCCAGCCCAGGGTGGGCACCCTCTGGGGAAAGTCCAGCAGCTCCAGTCCTGGAAACTCTGACAACAGAGAGGCACCCATTGTCCCCCTCACCCCACATCCGCTCTCGCTGTACAGCGCCCCCCCGCCATTTATTCTCCCTAGCTGGCCCCCAAATTTTGGTCTCCTGCTCCATTCAGAAGGCGAGTGTGGGTACTCCAAATACGACCATGTCTTGGCAGGACCAGGCCAGGCCCTAGAGGGCAGGTCCTGGTCCTGAATTCCTCTGTCCTCTCCTCCCCGCGCATGGCTGGAGAGGACAGAGAGATGCCTGGAGCAGGGGCCAGTGGAAATGTGGGAGAGGCCTGAGGAGCGGAGTCAGGGAAGGGGAAGGAAGGAGAGGTGAGGAGGGTGTTGAGCAGGAGGCCCGGGGACAGGTGTGGAGAGGTGAGGGGCCAGGAGCCGCCAGGGCTGAAGCAAGGAAATCAAAGGACGAATCTTTTGGAGGGAAGACGAGGGTCAGAAAAGGTAGCAAAGAGACAGAAAGTGGAGTCCAAGAAGAGGGCCAAGAGTGAGGGGTGGCCGATGGTAGAGCATCCAAGAGCGGAGGGTGAAGGTGGGAAGATGCCCCCATTCCATCCTCCGCCATCTTTATCCCCTCCTGTTTCCCTTGATGCGCCCCGGGCTGTCGGCCAGAGGTGGTGTCACTGGCAGAAGACATGGAAGGGCACTGAGGTCTCCCTCACCCCGGAGCCCCTGTACCAGGACGGGGGACTTAACCCCCAGGGCGCCGGGAAGCGGCCAGCTCCCCTTGCCTCCTTCCCCCTTCGTGGCTTGCGGTCTCTCTTCCCCGCCTCGGCCCCCAGGAAGTGTGAGTGCTGGGGGTGGTGAGGTTAGGAGGGGGAAGCTTCCCATGGGGGATGGGGAAGGCATGCAGGGGCTGGGTGGGGGGCGCAACTCCACAGATGCCTGGGACATCCCTGGTCAGAGGACCTGTCCTTCGAAGCCCTTCCCATCCTCCAGTGACATGTGGCTTCAGCTCCTTCACCCTGTCTTCCCAACTGGGCAATCCAGATGGCCACAGCCACTGGCCCCCAGAGGCCCTGGAAAGGGGTGGGGGAGGCTAGGGAACAAGGATTCCTGGGTCCCCAAGGACTTTGGACTGGTTGTCTAATGTCCCCGGCCGCTGGTCCAAGCCACAGGCCAAAGCCCTGGCTTCGTGCGAGAACTTAGCTCCAAAAAACAGGAAGAGAACCTGAGGCTGGAGTTGGGGTGGGGGGTGGGGGTAGAAAAGAGAAAGAAGTAAGGGGGAGGGGTGACCGGCCAAGGCCCCAGGAGTATTGGGAAGAGCCTTAGGTCTCTCCATCACCCACAGCAGGAAAGTGCCCCAGCCCGGTCCTTCTCCTTCCTCACCCCAAGCTGCTGCTCCAGGAGAAGCCCAGCCAGGCCCCGCTCGCTCCGGCAGAGCCTAGGATAGGGGCTTGAGGCCTGTGCCGGGGGGGCTCCACGTGCCCGTGTCTCAGGCCCATATCTATTTTCTCCGCCGCTAATCCTGGTTCCGCCTGCTGCCCCCCACACTAAGCCTCACTCCCCTAATCCCCAGGGTGGGGGGAAGGGGGGCCAGCTTTATTCAGCTGCCCTGTTCAGGGCCTCCTATCCTGCCCTTCAGCTAGCTCAAGCCAGCAGTGTTGGCCCTGGTGCCCCCAGCCCTGTGTGGACGCTGCCTGAGGTCAGCTCCTGGGAAGAGCTCTGGTCTCCTTCTTCCTAAGACAAGATCAGTGCCCTCTACCTTTTGGTTTCTTGGTGGTGGACACACCCTGGCAGGTGCCCTTGGGCACTGAGGGATAGGTGATAGGGGCTCTCACCTTTGTCCCCCTCCTACCTTTCTCACCCATAAGTCTTCCCCCAACCAAAGATGGGGCAGGCTTGACTCAGGGCCCAGTTTCAAGAGAGCTGCCCACCGGCTTGGCCGGTCTAGCAGGCCTGACAGTGAGGGGAGCCTAGGGGGGTGGCGGGAAAGAGGGGAGCAATGGGGCGGGGCCCTTGGTTCTTCCCCCTACCAGGCAAACAGACCTTGCCTGGTTCCCTGGCACAGCTACCCCCCCAACATCACACACACCCATGCCCACAAGGTCTTAGCAAGAGGGGGCATGCCGGGCTGGGTGGGGACAGGCCGCTTTCATGGGTTGTCAGGGGACTAGCCTTCTGGGATGCAGAGGTGGGAAGGGTGCCCAAGGTGGGGTGGGCACCAGTACCTCACTCTGGCAGAAAGAAGGGGGAGGCCTCCACCCTAAGCATCCCTCCCAGGTGATGGGCCCAGGAGTGCCCCCTTGGCCTGGTTGGCACCAGCATTGTTCCAGGTGGCACTTCTGTTGGCATCGGTGCCAGAGCCCTGGATAAGGACTGGGGGAGTTTCCCAGAAGCTGGAGGTATGAACACCCTCTCCTGGCCACGTGTGTCCTCTGCTTCTCTTTCCTAGCTACCTCTTGGTCATGGGCATTAGATTTGGGCCTAAGGGGTTAAACACCCACCCTTGCCCAAGCACAGTGTGAGCTGCATGGTAAACCAGCCTGAGCCTGTGACCTGACAGCTGGGTCAGCCAATGAGCACCCCTGCCACACCACGTTGCTAAGGAGACCAGCCCTGGGGTGGGAGAAAGGGGGCGGGCTTAGCAGCGGGAATGGGTGGGGTGGGTAGAGAAGGAGGGCAAGGGATGGGGTAAGCCACGTGCCTGCTGGTGCCCAGCTCTCAGCCAATGGACAGCCAGAAGAGCCCCACCCATTCCCCTTTAGAAGGGACGGGATCCACTTGGGTCCAGGAGGGTGCCCACTACTGCTTAAGTGGCTTCCACTATTGCTGCCCACTTAGTTTTTGTTCCTAAGTCCTGGGGCCATGTGCCACTTGTACCATTTGTAAGGGGGCGGCAGGAGAACCAAAGGAAGCAGGGACAAGTCCAAGACCGAGTGGTCCCCAGAGAAGGAGGTGATTTAGGGAAGGTGGCCTCTCTAAGGGTACCTAGACACTGGGGTGCTGCTCGCTCAAGCCTCTGTGCAGGAGCCTGGCGCTGCAGCGAAGGTGGCAGGCATGGAGGCAGGCAGACACGGTGCAGTTCTTGTGTCCTAAAGAGGAAACCTGTGGCTCTTGATTCTCCCATACACCCTACCCTCCCCCCCCACAAAAAAAAGCTTTTCCCCATCAATGGCCAGAGTGAACAGTTGCTGGAGTGTCAGGTCACTAACAAAATGACAAAATATAAGTTTCCTCGGGATCATCTGAGCTAGCCTTTAGTATTACAGATGAAGAATAGGACTCCTTTGGAAAGGAAGTGACTTGTCCAAGGTCAGGTGGCTCCTTAGTAGCCCTGCTCCCTCAGGCTAACTTGAGGGAGGGCAGACCCGGCTCCTCTGGCCTCCTCTGGAGGTGGTTTCTTGGCACAGCCTGTCTGTGTAAGTCAGGGTGCCACTGATCGAGCCCTTACTCGGCGTCCAGCTTTAGGCCACACTTGGTCTCATTTACCTCTCCCCACAACCCCAGGGTGAGCTGGAATTCTCCCATATTGTAGATGAGGAAAGAGGCTCAGAGATTAAATCATTTGCTTAAGGTCACAAAGCTAATCACCAGCAGAGTAAGGACTCAAACTCAAGCCTGGCTGATTCCAGAGCCCAGCTCTTTCCAGGCCGCACTCTGTCCCCAGTTGCTCCAGACCCACAGAATGTCAGGGCTGCAGGGCTGAGCCCTTGGGGCTTCCACTCCCACCCTTTCCTTAGACAGTTCTGGAAAGTGGAACACTGAGAGAAATAACTTGCCCAAGGTCATTCAGGAATGGAAGCCAGTCTCCCCACTTCCAGGCCAGACTCAAGCCTCAGCTGCTGTCCCCAGCCCTGCCTGCCTGCCTGAACCCGGAGACTGGTTTCTGTGCTCCGTGTGATTAGACCTGAGGGAGGACGAGGGTGGAACCTCTACCCTCCAGAGAGGGGGCTCTCCTGGAATGAGGGGGGGGTGGGGAGCTAGTGGAGGAGGAGGAGGGGAGGGGTGGGACTGGAACTTGGCCTCATGGCGGTGGGGGAGGGGCAGGGGCGATGCTTATCTGTGCGGGGCAGGAAGCACCCTCGCCAGTGACACCCCAGCAAAGGGTGGCTGCTCCTTGGCCCCATGGGGGAGGGGAGGATGTGGGGGGGGGGATGGTGGGACCTGTTTCCCATTTGGCCCCTAGAAGTGGGAATCTGGGGAAGGGGAGATGAACTTTTGTTGGCTGGGGGAGGGGCGGGGAGATGTGGTGCTTGGAAGCTCTCTTATTTGCATAGTGGCTTCTAGGGTACCACATGCTTTAGAGAGGCGCTGGCCATGCCTGGTGTCCAGTGGGAATCTGAACTCCCTCATTGGCTTCTCCCAGGGCTATGAAGAGGCCCCATCACAAAGGCTGTTACCCATTTTCCCAATGACTGAGGCCAGAGCCACCAAAGTCCTCCAACCAATTCTCCTAAACCAGGACCCAGCATCCTATCAGTCCAGTACTTCCGAAGGGATGGGCAATGGACAGATGGACATCTAGGAAAGAGCCAGAAAGGCAGGGTTCCTGCACTCCCAGAGCAGAACAGAGTGACAGTGATTATGAGCGTGGACTCTGGGCCACCGGAGGAATCTGACCCTGTCCTGCACCCGGGCAGTCACTCCACCTGTCTGACTCCCAGTTCCTTACCTGTGTTGGGTGATGATCATACTCCAGAGGGCATGAAAGGTTAAGTGGGCGTAAAGTACTTAGAAGAGTGGCATGTAGCCATCCCTCAGTGAGTGTCAGCCTGCGTCGGTGCCCCTCCCTGGACCCCTTAAAGGCTAAGCACTTAACCCCGCCCTCTGTTGACCCCACAGGAGAAGATGGGGAGCCCTGAGGATGACCTGATTGGAATCCCATTTCCGGACCACAGCAGCGAGCTCCTGAGCTGCCTGAATGAGCAGCGTCAGCTGGGCCACCTGTGTGACCTCACCATCCGGACGCAGGGCCTTGAGTACCGCACCCACAGGGCTGTGCTGGCCGCCTGCAGCCACTACTTCAAGAAGCTCTTCACTGAGGGCGGTGGCGGGGCCGTCACGGGGGCCGGGGGCGGTGGGACAGCGGCTGGGGGAGCAGGGGCTGGCGTGTGTGAGCTGGACTTTGTAGGACCAGAGGCACTGGGTGCCCTGCTCGAATTTGCCTATACGGCCACACTGACCACCAGCAGCGCCAACATGCCGGCTGTGCTCCAGGCCGCCCGGCTGCTGGAGATCCCCTGCGTCATCGCCGCCTGCATGGAGATTCTGCAAGTTAGTGGCCTGGAAGCCCCCAGCCCAGACGAGGATGACTGTGAGCGAGCCCGACAGTACCTGGAGGCTTTTGCCACCACCACGACCTCAGGCGTTCCCAATGGTGAGGACAGTCCTCCACAGGGGCCACTCCTGCCACCGCCACCGCCACCACCTCGGCCTGCTGCCCGCCGCAGCCGCAAGCCCCGAAAAGCTTTCCTGCAAACCCAGGGGGCCCGAGCAAACCACCTAGTACCTGAGGCGCCCACAGTGCCCACCCATCCCTTGACCTACGAAGAGGAAGAGGCGCCGGGTAGAGGGGGCAGCAGTGGAGGCAGTGGGCTGGCGGACAGCTACAGCCCTCCCACAGGAGTCGCCTCACCTACTGAGGGTCCCCTAAGCTACGACACCTATGAGGGTGAAGAGGAGGAGGAGGAGCTGGTATATCCCCCAGTCTACGGGCCAGCGCAGAGCGGCGGGCCCCCTCTCTCCCCAGAGGAGCTGGGCTCGGATGAAGATGCCATCGATCCTGACCTGATGGTCTACCTAAGCTCCCTGCACCAGGACGCCCTGGCACCAGGCCTGGATGGCCAAGATAAGCTGGTTCGAAAACGCCGCTCCCAGATGCCCCAGGAATGCCCAGTCTGCCACAAGATAATCCACGGGGCAGGCAAGCTACCACGACACATGAGGACCCATACTGGCGAGAAGCCCTTCGCCTGTGAGGTCTGCGGTGTCCGCTTCACCAGGTGAGCGCCAGGGGGGGAGCTGGGGGTGGAGGGGAGGCCATCCGAGTGGAGGCCGTCCCAGAGAGGTGAGGGCCTGTGTAGGTTCCTGGATTACAGGAGAGGCCAGAAGAAAGCCAAGGAGGTGGGCATGCAGAAGGCAGAGTGGGTGACGGCCCTAAAGAGCATCCTGGGACAGTCACCGAGTCGAGGGTGGCAGCGATAGGAGTGAGACAAGGCCTGGGTCAGTGACAAGGATGAGCCTGGGGACCCATCCTGAATGCTTCCCTCGCCCCTTCCCCCCTGCCTGTCCCAGGAACGACAAGCTGAAGATCCACATGCGGAAGCACACGGGAGAGCGGCCCTACTCGTGCCCGCACTGCCCAGCCCGCTTCCTGCACAGCTACGACCTCAAGAACCACATGCACCTGCACACGGGGGACCGGCCCTATGAGTGCCACCTGTGCCACAAGGCTTTCGCCAAGGAGGACCACCTGCAGCGCCACCTCAAGGGCCAGAACTGCCTGGAGGTGCGCACCCGGAGGCGCCGCAAGGATGACGCACCACCACACTATCCACCACCTTCCACCGCCAGCCCATCCCCTGCTGGCCTCGACCTCTCCAATGGCCACCTGGACACCTTCCGCCTCTCTTTGGCTCGATTCTGGGAGCAGTCGGCCCCCACCGGGCCCCCAGTCTCCACCCCAGGGCCTCCTGATGACGAGGAGGAGGAGGGGGCACCCACCACGCCCCAGGCTGAAGGTGCCATGGAGTCCTCTTAAAGAGGAATGAGTGGCCAGGCTGGAGCAGCACAAGGGCGGGGATCCCCATGCCAAGCAGTGGGAGCAGGCAGGACAGGCGCAGCTGGGGTCAGGGGCACGGAGCCTTGCTGGCGGCAGAATCGGCCCCTCCCCCTCGGTTCCCTCATTCCAGTTCCAAGCTGAGAAGGTTTGGGGGCAGAGGCTCCCCAGATTGGGGTGATCCCCCAAGAAGTGATACATATGATATTATGTGTATATTTACAGCTCTATTGTAAAGGTGGGGTCCCTGTCCCCAGCTGCTCCTGGGGAGTAGAAGCAATAATGTATTTGATTTGTGGGGTCCCACTTCGGCTATGCGGGTTTCTAGGGGGCGGGGGCTTGGGACCAAAGCCTTGCCCCCCTCCCATGCCCCTTTGGGGGTTTTGGCTGTGTAAGGGGGTGAAGGACTGCCCCTCCCTTCTGAGACCCCTCCTTCCTGGTTTCTGTTCCCTTTTCCTGGCAGTGAATTATGCAAAGGGGGTTGGCAAAGGAAGGGTAGGTGGGGGAAAGCAAGGTGGGAACTTGAAAGATTGGGGGGACTGGGCCTGTAAGGAAGGAGCCATCCCGGTCCCCCTCCGCCCTGCTGCGGCGCTGAGTCATGGGGTCCTGGAGAAGAAGGGGCGGGTGCCTGATTGGCTCGCCCGCCCCTGGGGGCAGCGGGCGGGCCCCGCCCAGCTCGGGAGCGCAGCTCCCTCCCCGGCCTCCCTCCCCTCCCGCGTCCCCGGGCAGGGAATGTCTTGTTCCCGCCGCTCCCTCCCTGGGGCCAGAGGGCAGGGCGGGCCGGGCGGCGTCGTACCCTCTCCTTCCCACCTCCTCCCCGCCCAGGTGCGAGCCGGAGCCGCCACCGCTGCCGCCCCTGACTCACGCCGCCCCCGGGCTGGCGGGACGCAGGGTGTGGGACCCGGTGAGGGGCTGGGGGAGCCGCGGCGGCGGTGGCGCCACCTGGCGGCTGTGCCCTGCGCGGGCCGCGGCCCTGGCTCCGTGGCGCCCCCTTGCCAAGGCGCCGCGCTCGCAGCTCGTCGGGGCCGCTGGGAAGGTGGGCTGCGGTGCTGTGGGAAGGGCATCCCTTTCCCAGACCCTTGCCAGCCGGGCTTCCCAGCGGGCAGAGAATGACCCCACTCCTCTAGGATTGAGCCCACCCACCGCCCCTGTACATAGCCTCGTCTGTTGGTCTCGTGGAAATCTAGTTTCAGATTTTTAACTACCCAATTCCGCTGGGGCGGGGCACCTACCCCGACCCTTTCCTCGCTGGGTGCTGGACCCCCTTGCGGCCTGGGCTCTGCCTTGCACTATTTCCCCTCCCTGGCCTGGCGGCCCCTCCCCCTCCCTAAGGGGCAGGTTCAGGGGCCCGGTGCTCTCCCTCCCTCCCTCCCGTGCACCCCCATGCCCATTTGCACAGCTGCCCAGGTACCCCCAACAGTGGGGAGGGGTTACAGGGAGGGGTAGCGGGACCAGTCCCTGTATCTATTTAAAAGTGATGATGTAATATATTGGGGTGGGAGGGGAGGTCGGGTGCCCTGGGCCTCATCTTAGCATTTCAGGTGATGGGGGGAGCCCAGGGCTGGGGAGACCTGGGGCCCAGCCCCAGAGAGTGGGGACAATATGGCCTCCCTTCTCCCTACTTGCGGCTTTCCCGGTCAGTGCCTTAGGGGGGGAGGCATCCCCCCTCTCCTGTTCCCTTTCCCCTACCCCCCCACCTCGGGTGTAAGCGACAGGAAGAAATAATAATAATTTAAGATTCACACTTGTGTCCACTTTTGGTTCCTTTATTTTGGGGGCGGTGGGAGGGATCAGGAGGAGAGGGAGACGGGAGAGGACCTGAGCTTTTGGAGCCTTTTGGGGAATAAAGAATTTCTCAGGTGGTCAGTGGGGCCCAGCTGGCACGGGAGTGCCCACAGGCTGATGGACTTCAGGCAGGAGCTTGTGAGCCTGATTTTCTGCTGAGGGCTCCTCCTCATCCAGGTCACTAGGGAAGAGAGCCGCAGGGCAGCCCTGTCACCCGTGTCCTGCCCCCTGCCCCGTCTGTTCAGAGCCTTCTCTGGTTGTTCACCAGCCACCCCTGTGCCCATGAGGCACACTAGCCCATGGCTTAGACATCTGACTTTAGGCTGGTGCCGAGGGACAGGTGGACAGTGATCTGGCAGAGGCCACCTGGCCGGTAAGGGTGGAACCACTGGTGACCTCAGGATCACCCCGCTCAAGGCCCAGCCGCCCCCTTGCTGATCCAGCTTTTCACTTTCCGGGGACCTCTGAAAGGAAGCTTTGCCTCCCCTTCAGCTTCTCGCGACCTCCAGCCACCATCCGCGCTGGAATGTGCCCACAGGACACTTTTCTTTGCCTTCCACCCAAGTGGGGGCAGCTTAGCCTTCTCAAACCCAGCTGGCCCACAGTGTTTTTTGTAAAGCCCCTGGCTGTCACAGCAGCTCTATCACTGGCTCTGTGACAGCCAGGCCTCCCAGACACCTCCAGCATGCATCCAGAATGTCAGCTCTGGGCTTGGGCTGAGTTTGTGGTCCAGCAGACTCATAGGAGGACCCAATCCTGTGACTTTCAATCCTGAACCTCCTTGGCCTTGACAACCTTCACCTCTGCTCTCGGACAGTCCTCCCCAGCCTTGACCACTCACTAGGTAGGTCCAGAATTCTGCCTGGCTCTTGGCCACTCTGAGCGCTCCTGTCCAGCCAGCTCTCCCCCTCCCCCTGCCCTGCTCTAGCATCTCACCAAGACCGAGCTCCTCACCTTCCCCAAGGTCAGTTGCCATCTTGTTCTTCCCCTAACCTGCCCAGAGGCAGCCCTCAACCCTTGAATCCACATTTGTCAGAGAAAACTCATGACTAAGAACACGGCCGTCATTACAGGTCATGGTTTTCAGAATCACCTGGAAATCCCTGGGCCTCTGGGTCACCTCTTTGCATACTCCCCATTGCAGATACTTCAGTCTCCACCGCCCCCTCCTGAACCCTCTCCTCCACTCAGCCACCTCACTGCTCCCAGCAGCTGCCCTGGCCTCCCACTCCCCAGAGAAGAGCAAGGCCCCCAGGCCGGAGCAGGCTCAGTTCTGCTCAGAGGGACTTCCGCTCCTCACTCCTTTCCGAGGCCACATCCTCCACCTGGCCTAAACCCCATCCCTCCTCTTCCATGCTCTCTCTCTCCTACTTCCTGAATGTTCAGTCTCGCTGTCCCTGCATAGAGAAAGAAATCTTTCTTTTTATTCCCCTCCGGTACTGGAATTGACTCTGGGATCGCAGGACACATCCCAGTCCTTTCTCCTTTTTTACTTTTTGTTGGTTTTGAGACAGCGTCTTGCTAAGTTGCTTTTGGCTGGCCTCACACTTTCCATCCTCCTGCCTCAGCCTCCCAAGTACCTGGGATTACAGGTGTGTGCCATCTTGCCCAGCAGGCATCCTGCTTTTAACTACAACATTTATGTGAAAGGAATCATTTGACTTCTGGCAGATGTGAGGCAGGAAGCACACACCCCGCCTCTGAGTCCTTTCTGTCGGTCACCCCTCAATCCATCATGATCAATTTGGCCTTCTCAGCGCCGGGGAAAAGTGTTCCCGCCAGGTCAGGGGATGTGGTCCGAGGTGGAGGGCTTGCCTGGCATGTGTGAGGCCCAGGGTTCAATCCCCAGGACTGGGGGGGGGTCCCACCCGCCACACTAGTGGTTTCTCCACTGTCATTCAGTGGCCAGTCCTGGCCCTCCTGGGTCACCTCAGGGCCTTCACAGGCTGGCTCTCCTGCTTTCTTGAGCACCTCCCTCTTAGGTTTGTGATTGAGCCCTTAGGATTCTGTCCCTGTCCCCTTGTCTCCTGCCATGCCTTCTGGATAATCTAACTCCATCTCTCTTAGTCTCTAAATCAACAAGCCCAGGGGAAACGCCCCCAGCCCAGAGCCCTGCCCCTTTCAGCTGTCCCCTGGGCATCCCCAGCTGCGTGCCCCACAGACACCCCACAGATCTCAAACTGGGCCGGTCCTCTTTCTCCAGATCCTATTTCTCCTCCTGCCCTAAAACCTGCCCTGTCCCAAGCATAGATCCTGGTCATTCTCAGCACCTTTGGTCCTGAGGCCCTCAGCAGCTTCTGGACTGAGTCAGCCTCCTCCCCAGACTCTGCTCTGCCTGCTTGGTCTCCGGTCTTAAAGGACAAATATGAATCCTTCATTTTCCAACCTAAGATCTTTTTTTTTTTTTTTTTTTTTTTTGGCACCGAGGATTGACCCCAGGGCACTCGACCCCTGAGCCACACCCCCAGCCTCTTTTTGTATTTTATTTAGAGACAGGGTCTTGCTGAGTTGCTGGGCTGGCTTTGAACTGGCGATCCTCCTGCCTCAGCCTCCCGAGCTGCTGGGGTTGCCGGCTCAGGCCACCACACCCGGCCCAACTTAAGTGGCTAGCGAGGCCCTTGGCCATGTGGCCACCCCTGGTGGACTGCCATTCTCGTTCTCTGATGTCTGCAGCCAGACAAACCACCCCCCCTTCCCACCTGAAGCCTGGATTAATATGTCCCCGTTCCAATAGAGTGTCACTCCTTTATCAGGTGCTGTCCCACAGGAGTGCTGACCCCAGCAGGCACCCAGTGAACCTGAGTTCCTCTTCCTCCCCTCATCTCCGCCTCCAGCCCAGCAGAGTGCAGGCACCCAGGAAGCCCTGTGTAAATGTGACCGCCTTGCTTAGGCGTCCAGTGGCCAGGTGCCGGTCCTTCCCCCGGCTCACCTGGACTCCGAGGTGGACTCGTCTAAGAAGTCCTCGTCCAGCACCTCTGGGACCTGTTGCTGCACCGTGGGCTTCTGCTCCAGGGCCCTTCCACGGGCGGCAGCCAGCCACAGCCGGGGGCTCTCCTCGTCACTGGAGTCCCTGGAAAAGCCTCCCCTCTCAGTGTCCCACCGACATTCTGGGGGACGGGTGGCTCCTCCCAGTGCTCCCACAGACCCCAGCCCCCATCCCTGAAAGACTCACAGCTCCCAGTCCAGGCCCTCCTGGGCGGAGAGCGGGGCCGCGCACACCGAGCAGGTGTTGCTCAGAAGACGGAAGCAAGTGTGGCAGTAGAGACCTGGGGGGTGAACTTGAACTTGCCCCTCCCCTCCCCTCGCTCCCCGATTCCAGCCCCTGCCTCCCCTGCCCCACTCCTGAGGGACTGTCCTGGTCAAGTGTACACAGCTGGGGCACAGGACTCCTGTTCCTCCGGGGAGTGTCGGGGAGCGGGGAGGAAATGAGCCAGCCAGGCTCTATGGAAATGAGGTCATGCAGAGCAATGAGGGGGGTACAGACGGTGAGGGTCCAGAGAAGTCCATGAAAAAGGACCAGAGTTGATTGTCACAGGCAAATCAGGGAAGTCCCACCCAGCAGGGAGCGGCACACTATCCAGGGGTCTCACCTTTACAGCCCGGGGTACCGCAGTACACAAAGTTCTCCGTGTCCCCTTCATCTTGGGTCTGCCCACAGCCCAGGCAGCAGGCCTCATGCAGCTGAAATTGGCTGACGAAAACACTCAGCCATGGGCACCTGAGGAGAGGTCAGGGACAGTGGACCAGCCAGCCTAACCCTCCCCACACCAGTACTGACCTCCAGGTGATGGGGAGGATTTCCTGCAGCCTAACCTTCATCCCTCCAACTGTAGGGACAACTTCACTACTGCCCTCTTCTTCCTCCCTTCACTCCCCAGTCCTGGAAATCCTCGTCCCTAATTGTCCCTCTTTAACCAAACCTCTTGCTACTGGGGGAGGACAGTGATCCATTCTGACCTCTGGCTCTTTTTCTGTTCACTCTCGGCACATCCCTATAGGGAAGCAGGGTGGGCTTACCGGATGGCCAGCACTTGGAGGACACTCATGTGGCCCTGATCAGCTGCCCGCCGCCTCACCGCTCGTTGCAGGGCGACCAACAGGTTGGTTCGGCGATTTAGAAGTATGTGATAGAGGTAGGTGATTCTTTCCTGATGGTGGAGGTCAGGGATGGATTCCCATCTGATCTTGTTTCATCTGCTTGGCGCGCCCTCTCACCCATTCCCACTCCCCATCTTTCTTTTCCTTTTGTCCCACTCCTACGAATTCCTGTGGGCTTGGGTCAAATAAATGCCTCTTCCTCTGAGAAGCCCTCTGGACTTCCCCAGGGGGATTCCCAGTCTCTCCTGTGGACCCCACAGCTCTTTGTTCATTTCTTAACAAAGGTTCTTTTTAAGTATAGAGTCTGGAGAAGCCGGCCTGGCCTGCCTTGACGCTGGTTCCAACCTGGTTCGCCGTGGCATCCTTGTAGCTCACCCAGTGACTGGCACACAGTAGATGCTCAGTAAATAATTAGTGAATGCGTGGACAAATGGCAAGATTCCGTCCAAACCTCAGCATACCAACACTCTTCCCGTCTCCCATCAATTTTGGTTGTTTTGTTTTCTGTACTAGATATTGGACCCAGGGCCTCTCTACCCTACATCCTCAGCCCTTTGATTTTTAAATCTTATTTTGAGACAGTGTCTTGCTAAGTTGCTGAGGCTGGCCTTACATTTGTGATCCTCCTACCTCAGCCAACTAAGTAGCTGGGATCACAGGTGTGCGCCTGTGCTAGCTGTTTTTGTTTTCTGCAGGACTGGGTTTTGAACCCAGGGGTGTTCTGCCACTGAGCTGCCCCTATAGCCCTGCATATTTTTTACTGTGTGCCAGGGTCTTGTCAAATTGTCCAGGTGGCCTCTAACTTGCGATCCTCCAGGCCCAGCCTCCCAAGTCACTGGTATTACAGGCAGGTGCCACC